TGTACCGCACCCTGTTGCTGTGTCCTCACATGCTGGAAGGGGCAAGGCAGCTCTCTTCATGATTCCTGATCCCTCATGACGTAACCACTTCCCCAAAGCACGCCCCCTGAATGCTATCACGCCAGGGATTAAGTTTCACCATGTGACTTTTTAGGATTACCAATATTCATAATGTGGCAGTACTGAATTCAAATTCGATCCAAGCTTTTGGCTTCTTATGAATCCAGTCTGTACCTGAACATTGCTTAAGGGACCAAGGCACCCGGGCTGGACTCTGACCGTGCCACCCTACCCTGTCCACCCCAGAGCTGATCTGAACTGGTCTGCACTCAACATTTGAGTCAGGCGCAGTGCAGGTTGGTCAAAAAAACCCAAAAAACAAAAACCACAACAGCTGTAGCCCATCATAGCATGTGGCATGTGCTCTGACTACTGGGGAGAAGAGGCACAGATGTTATTGGCTTTCAAAAGACAAAGCTCTGGAAGTTTCTCTAGACTCTGTGACTGGGACAGACCTTCCTATAATCTGGGCCACTGATTATGGCTGCACTGCTGAGGGCTTCATGGACCTGACTCCTTCAGGTGCCCCTCTCATCCCCCAGTCCCCACGAGGCAGTGGCCCTGTGCACTGGCTGCAGCTTCTCCCTGCTGTCAGACTGAAGGGAGAGCGCAGCCGCAGACAGGCTGGCCAGGAGCTTGCCACTTCAGGTTTTCCAGTTTGCCGACCAGCCAGGCCCCAGGCCTGGATTTCTGCTGAGGCAGGTGAACCCCTGGGACTTGACCTCTGCCCCCTTGTCCCTCGGCAGGGCCAGTTGTCAAGGAGATGACAGGATTGGATTCCGAGTTAAGGGAACCAATCTTGTCTTTCTAATTTTATCTTTACTCTCTCTTCCTCCTGCTGTCCCTTCCTCCCTTTCTCATCCTTTATCTTTTTTGTTTGCTTTTATTGTTTGCAGCCATTAAAAGAATGGTGGTCATTTTCTAAATTGTGACCGAATCATTATTTTATTTATTTTATTAAAGCAAGACCTTCTGTGGGCTTTTAGGTTTTATTTTGCATATAATAAACTCAGAGCTGCCTTAGGTTGCGGGCAGCTTAAAGCATTTAGACAAATTCACCTGCAGTCATCATAACATCTGAGGAAGACTTTATTACCTCTTATTGTTTGGTGTAAAAATTAGAAATCAAAAGGCAAGGTCCACCGCTAACCAGTGACTGGCCTGTGCTTACGTCCAATTCAGAGCTGGCTAGGACTTAGGACATCTGGCTGTTCCTGGGCCCCTGAAGCATTACACCTCTGGGGATGGGTAAATATACTCAGTGAGCTGCAAACAGCTGGGCTTTGAGCTCATTTTCATGCCTTATTCAGACAATGCTGATGCCGATGCAGATGATGCTCAGCTTATGGGATATGACATCATCTGCACCATTTGTCAAAAGCTGTCAGCATTTCAGGACAAACCTGGCAATGGTGCTTCTTGTTTGTCCTTTCAACACCCACTCATTCTTGTTTGCTTCAGGACAATAAAAATAGGTGGTATTTCTAAAACTCCACTCATCAGGGATCTTAGAAACTTGCAAGGAAATGAAAGAACCCAGTGGGGTAGACTTACTTTCTTCCTATTGGTGGGTGATGTGGGAATCAAATTCACATTGCTGAAGTCCTTTTCTGTTCATCTGGTACCTACAAAGACTCTTCTAGAATGATCTCCACCTTATCCATTGTCTTCCCACCGTGTAACCCAGAAATATTTGTGTTTGTTCTTATTTCAATTTTAGCAGAAAACAATCACCTGGAAATTGCTGAGCTTACCCAGAACCCAGGCCAGTGGGCCAGACCCTGAGGACACCGGGATTGGCAAAGTTGATGGACTACTTCTTTATTGTTCCCATTCAAATTTCTTTGCCCCAATCTTCCCCAGCTGTCCATCATCCTCTCAGTTTCCCTCCTGCTCTGGAGGGACTTGGGATCCTCGCCTACATATATCTCCTTGGCAGTTGTCTTCTTTCCATTCATGGAGACTTTTCCAACCTATATCTCAGTTATATTGAGGAACACAAAGAAACTTCTCTGTAGGAGCTGTCACTGTAGAATGATTGTCATTTCAGCATAATCCTGAATAACATATTCCTTTTCTCGAAGAGTGTCCTTACTTGAACAATAAATTGCATGATCGCCCAGTTATCGGGCTCTTGAGGCATGGCAACTTCATTGGCGTTACATAATGTGAGTGGTTCTTCATGTGACATTATAGTAAGTCCTGTGGAGAGGGAGAGGAACCTCAGGAGGAAACTTTACAGGCCTCTTGTCTAACTTGCCTGGTTAAGCTATAAGCTCATTTCTCTTGGTGTCCTCAGAACTGAATGCAACCTGTACACATTTTGGGGGGTTCAGAATTCCTTTTACATTACAAATGTGTTGAGGGCTCCAAAGAGATTTTGTTTATATGGATTACATCTCATATATTTACTACTTAAGGAGTTAAAACAGAAAATTTTAAAATACAGTAATTCATTTAAAACAACAATAAAAACACATTAAATGTTAAAATAAATATTTATGGAAAAACTGTATTATCTGATAACAAAGAAATGTAGCAAGGAGAATGACCTGATTTAAATTTAGTGAGAAGAGCAGCAGTGATTTGCATTTCTGAAAATCCCTTTGATGTCTAAATTAATATCAAATAGCTAGATTCCCATATCTGTTCCTGTATTTCATCTTGCATCTCGCCCATCATGAAGCTTCTAAAAAAAGAAACTCTACTGCAAACTCAAGAGAGCACAAGAAAGGCAGAGAAAGTCTAGTATCGTTATGAATATAGTTTTAACCTTGTGGACTCCCAGCAGCATCCCAGGAATTTTGGGGGTCTCTAGACCCTGCTTTTAAGCTGCTGCACTGGATATTCAGTTAGTACCTGTTGAATAGAACAAAGTTCTTCTTCTCCTCCTTCCCCTCCCCCCCCTTTTCCTCCTCCTTTTTTGGTGCTGGGGACCGAATCTAGGGGTACTTTACCACTGAGGTAGGGTCTTGCTAAGTTACTGAGGGTCTTGCTAAATTGTTGAGGTTAGCCTTGAACTTGTAATTCTCCTGCCCCAGCCTCCCAGCTTGCTGGGATTACAGTTGTGCGCCATTGCACTCAGCAAATAGAACAAATTTTAATGTGAAAAATCTTTGACAGAATGTGGCAGTTCCTACTGGATTATTCTGATGGGATTTAAGCAGCTACTTTAGATGTTGCATTATGGTTTAAGTTTGAGGGGACTGAGTGGTTCTGGGTTCAAGTTTTGGGGGACTGGTGGTTTATCATAAAAAAACACTATTGAGGTGGGGGTATAGCTCAGTGGAAAAGTACTTGGCTAGCATCCAGAAGCCCTGAGTTTGAAAAGTGGCTTTTCCATGGGGAGAAAAATAAAAGGTGAAACAAAGGCCAAGTTTAAAACAAAAGCAAAATTTTGAGCTTATTTGTGTTTGTGTGAAAGGGTGAAAGGGATGCCTGCAATTCTCAAGTCATTGGAGGGTGAAGAGAGCGATGGTTTGTTTCTTCTGATAAAATTATAAACTCCCCAAGGTTAGAGTTAGAGTTTTTCTTTCTTTTGATCTGGGGGGCGAGGGCGGGGGCGAGCCTTGGGACTATAGACCACTTGAAAGGTGACAAGCCAAGCTAAGATGTGAGATTGATCTATCTATCTATCTATCTATCTACCTATCTATCTATCTATCTACCTATCTACCTATCTACCTATCTACCTATCTCCTTGATTTTGAAAACAGTATGAAAAAAGAAGGTAAAATATCTCAGTAAGTTTTAAATATTGATTGCACGTTGAAATGATGTTTGACTCTCTCGAATAATAAAATATATTACTAAAATTAATTTCCCAACCAAAATATCCTTTTATGGTTACATATCTATTTATAAATGGGAGCATGTTTATACCAAAGGATATTATTCAGGGCTAAAAAGAAATGGGTTATCAAGCCATGAAAAGACATGCAGAAATCTTAAATTACTATGCGAAAGACGTCAATCTGAAAATGCTACATGCTTGAAGAGTCTGATTATGTGATAACTTGTGAAAAGGCAGAACCATGGAGATAATAAAAGATTAGTGGTTGCCAGGGGCTGGGGAGGACTGGAGAGGGAGGAAGGGGTGAACAGGTGGAGCACAGGGGGAATTATTAGGGCAGAAAAGCTATTCTGTATGATACTCTAATGGTGATACATGGCATTAATACTTGTGTTGAAACCCCCAAAACATATAACACAAAGTGATGGGGTTTAGTTAATGATAGTATATGAATATCGGTCCACTAATTGTGACAAATGTACCACATGGGATGGGTTCTTTGGCCTCTCCCATGGCACCCTTCCTTCACCCACAAGCTCTGGGACAGAAAGAGTGCCCCCTGCTCCCTGACCCTCGGCGTACAGTACTTCTGGAAGGGCAGATGGGCTGCTGCACAGGACCTGAGCGGAGTCGCTTGATGGGAGCCTGTCATGGTCCCCCATCCTGTGATCCCATCATGGAGATGCCCCCCCCTCTGTCCTACTACGGCTGGGTAGTCCCCATCTCCAGAGGGGTGTCCAAGGCCTGGCTCCACTTTGTGAGCAAATCTTGAGTGCCCAGGGTCCCTGAGGGACAGAAATTTCTGAGTGGCTGCAATATGCAGTGGTAGCTGGCCTCTTGATTGCCTGCAATTTTGCAGAGAGGTCTGTGAGTGGTAGTTTTTTGTACATCCTAAAGTAACAGTAGAAACAACCTTAAAGTGGCACCCTAAGGCACAGCCACCTGCTGAGCCAGTGGTTCAGCCAGGCTGATTTTCTGAGGAAAGGTGAGTCTCTGCGACTTGCCCCTCCCCTGCTGCTCATCTCCGCAAACAAAAGGCCTGAATGCAGATTGTCACCCCCTGTACACTCTGTCACCTTTAATCAGAGCAGTGGTAGGTGTTCAGGTGTGGAATGGGGCAGCCTCCAGACCACACAGGGGGCTCAGAGGTGCGATCAGAGGCCCTTTCATTCTGCAAATACCTTCCTTTATTTATTTTTATTTAAAATTATGAAATACTCCAAACACACAGAAAAGCACAGAGAATACAGACTCCCAGGCACCTGCCACCTGGATATAACAACCATTAATGTTTTGCATAAGGCTTCCAGACACATTTAAAGACATGAACCTTTATAGGTGGATGGCACCATTCCCACCTAACCCCATCCTTTGCCACCTCTTCCCACCCAGAGGGAGCCTCTGTCCTGACATACCTGCATGTGTTATCTATGACATAGCCACAAATCATATGCATTAAGATTTTTACCAACATCCAATATATATCTGTTGGGTGCTTCACATCCAGGAGCCATGGTGCTGGCCAGTGAGGATGGGACGGTGAAAATCCAGATCTCAACAGCTGAGCTTAACTTCAAAGGAAAAGCAAGAAGATATGAAGGTGCTCAGGAAAAGAAAAGCCAGGAAGCTAATCAGGGGTGCTGCTGCTGTCCTTCTGGGGCTGGGCTTGTCCTCACGGTTTGGTTCATCATTGTGTCACTTGCCCTCTCCCCTGGGGAGCTTGTTTCCCTGTGGGAGTCCCCTTGCCCTGGGAGGTGTGCAGAGACAGAAGTTTTGCATTTGCTTCTGCTGGGGGCACCAGGGCCTCGTTGGTATGTGACTAGTTTTGTGTAGATATCTTGGATTGGAACTTGACCTCCTCCATGGGAGTGATTTGCATTCTGGTGTCATCTCTAAGGGGAAATGGATTTCAGATGTCAATGTCATTTGGGAGGCTTTTTTTCCCCCTGGGATCCCAGGCAGATGGCATCTTCTTTGCTGCTTCCCTGAATCACTGGGAAAAATCTTCCAGTCTTTCCATTGCTTGCTCCCTGATTCCAGAAAGCCTCAGTCCTAGATCCTCTGCCATGTTTCTGCCAGTCACAAGAGCCACATCCAGGGTCAGTATCCCCCTGGGTGCTCCAGCACTTGTTGGTTCCATTTTGTAATCTCCTATATCTCTGTCATTTGAGGAGGTTCCTTTCTTTTTCAGCGTGGCTATAAATTTAAAACATTTTTTGGTTATATTTTATCTAGCATTTCTGTGTGTTTGGAGCAGGAGGGGATCCATGTCTGCACTGACCGCTTTGCTGCCAAGAATACAAACCACATCTTTATTGACTTGTCTCAGGCCTTTAAATCTTCCCTGTCTTCTCTAACATTGTGCTCAAAAGCACAGAACCGACTGTCAGATATGCTAGGTGCAAATTCTGGCTCCCACACTTGCTAAATGTGGACCTGGAGAAAGCTAATTAACATTGGTTTCCTTATCTGTTAAGAGAGGACAATCACTTGTAATACTGTAATTACTGACTTCTTTTCATTGTTGGAGAGATTCAATGAATTTTTGATAAAATACTTTGAACTGAGAACGAGATAAGTACTGGTTACTATTAGGTTTGGTGTAAAGTCTTTGTTAGTTGGCTACTAATAAAATATTCAGCCCTTATACCATATACTCACTGGGTTATTACTATGCATCCATCAGCTAGTATTTTATTTGGTTAGTTTTTGCTTGTCATTTTGGGAAAAAGAGATGAGGAACCTGTAGAAATTGTAGCCTGGATGAACTTGGAGGCTAGTTTGTCCAGGGATGGCCTGGGAAGGCAAAAATCTTACCACCACAGGGCCTGTATTTCGTTGATTAAAATCCGTAACTTGAAAAAATGTGTCTTGGGGCTGAGTTTGTTGCTCAGTGGTAAAGTGCTTGCCTAGCATATAAATAAATAAAGGTCCATTGACAACTAAAAGAAAAAAAAAATTTTAAATGTGTCTCACCTAGCAGGCACAAGGCCCTGAGTTTGATCTTCAGCACACACACACACAAATAAAATGGTGTTTCAGATTTTGCCTCTTTCCCGTGATTTCGAGGAAATGGGTCTCCTTTTTACTGGAGTCTTAGGGCCATTTTTGTTCGCATATTTTACTGAAGCAGATGTCATTTCCCACTAGATGGTGTCTAGGAGACATTTTTTTAAAAAAAACATTTATTTTTTAGTTGTAGTTGGACACAATACCTTTATTTTATTTATTTATTTTTATGTGGTGCTGAGGATTGAACCCACGGCCTTGCAAGTGCTAGGTGAGTGCTCTACCACTGAGCCACAACCCCAGCCCTCTAGGAGACATTTTAAGTGTTCCTGTGGGATGCAAATATGGTTGGCAAGGGTCTTCCCCTGGCATTATGAACTAAATGCTCCAGCCCCAGAGGCTGGGACTTTTCTTGCCTTGCTATGAACCATTTGAATGTGTCAAGCTGCAAAGATGTTGCTGCAGATGGACATTCCCTCCATAAAGCCTGGGAATCTTGGCCCGGGCCCTGGTGTTGATGTTGGTGGATAAGAATAATTTGACACATGGACTACTGTTTTGTGCTTGGTGAAAAGCCAGGATAGGCTAGGAAAGACTCTGTTCCTCCAATAAGTACTCACTGAGTACTACTGCAGTTTGAACATTAGCACCCCGAAGGAAATTGCTGTTTCCAGTGTCCTAGACATCCTCTAGAACTATTCTATATAGGCAAATACAAAGTCTTAGACACACACACACATACACACACACACACACTTTGCAAAATTGGCAGCATACTACACTCACTGTTGTATCCTTTGCACAACATTTTATCTGTTTATCTTTCATATCACCACATATATTTAATTATAGCTGCTTGATTCTTTTTAACAATTTCATAGTATTCTACTGCATGGGCTTACTATAATTTATATCAACAATCCCACACTGGTGGAAATTTAGGTTATTTCCAATCATTAGTCATTACAATGAATGCTGCAGCTATACTCTTATACACACATTTTTTTTTTTACAGATATGAGAATGTATACAGATGTGAGAATGTATTAGCAGGATAACTTCCTAGGAAAGTTATGTCTTCCTTTTTGAAAAAAAATGCACATATATCCTTTCTGTAGGTAGCAAAAAGCTGAAATGCACTCTAAATGAGCAAATGGAATATGGGTGCACAGGGCAGTAGAGGACACTGGCCTGGGGATGGGATCCCGAGACCTTTATTTCACTTAGTTAACTAGCTGGGTGATGTTGGGCCAGTCTTTTAACTCCGCTGAATCATGGTGGTTTATTTATGAAATGAATCTTTGTATCATTCAAGGCTAAGGGAGAAGCATTCAGGAATCTAAGCACCAATCTTGAAGTCCAGTGTGGCTTTCTCCCTTTATTCAGGCTTCTCCTTGCCCAGCTATGTGAGGTCTTGGTTTTACTTCTAGTATGTTCTGCCAGGGCAGCACACACACAGCCAGGTTCCGTTTTGTCAGAATATACTGTGCAGTGAAAATGAGCCTGGAGAGTGGGGAGTCCACCCTGGACTCCTGCCCCAACTGCATGATGTTGGGAAGTCCCGTCTCTTGCAAACCTCATTCCACTGCTGAATAGATAAATTCAGAGTGAGGTTTTGGAGTTCCAAAGAAGAACAAAGCCTCCTTTCCATCTTTCACACATGGGACATTCTCCAGGAAACAGAACATGTCTTTGCTATGTTTGGTTTTTCAATTGACTGAGTCTCTCTAAAATTCCTTCCTTCCTGTGGTCAGTGTTTGCTTGGGAGGGTGGTAGGCTGGCTGGGGAACCAGGTAGACAGAGGAGGGAGAATTGCTAGTGGAAAAGAATAGACTAATCCCCATAAGCCAAAGGGCTGTTAGGGTCAGGCCGTGGTGCTGTTGTGACAGGTAACCATTTACTACCTGAAGTAAACCTGAGCTTTTTTCCAGAGGTTGTGCTGCTAAGGAAAGACTGGCCAAGCACAGCTTCCAGTGTGGGAGATGAGCAGTTTGGCCAGGAACCAGAGTTGCATGATCCTTCAGTGATCAGCATTAATGACCAGTGGTAAAAAAGGGAGAACTTAGTTAATGAAAGACTACTGTTGGCGATAGTAAACACAACCTTAATTAATGAACTTTGCTAATAGTTTCTCCCTATAAATATTTTAGCTTCAGTTCAGGCTTGAGCCCAAAGGGATTATAAGGAAGGGGTGGAGGGCATGTACACAGAGAAAGGAGCAGGGTCTTAGCAAGGGGATTTGAGTGAGCAAGATTTTACTAAGCTGAAAAACACGGATGAATAGAAATGACAGTGGTATGGAAGTGTCTGGCCTCACGCAGGTTAAGTCCCCAGCTTTTAACTGAACTTGAACTAATTTGTCCTTGAACTAATTTGTCATCATGGCTATTCTTGTTTTCCTGAATGTTCAAGCTAGGGAGAACTCCATCCCCGCAAAATCCCAGGCTAGGAAAGGTGCTTAGCTGGCTCTAGAAGTTGGATGCACATTCCACCTTCAAGCATCTGAGGTAGAATGCTCCCTGGGGCTAGGCCCTGATGGATCCCTGGCAGGATGGCCGCCATCTTGGTTGGATCTTATTCAAATCAAGAGGTCAGTGTCACCTTGCTGGTTGACTTCACTTTCCATGGGGCAGCATGAACAACCCACAGCCCTTTATCTGTCAAACCTTCTCTGTTTTCAATTAGTATCTAATTTTACAGCTGGGCCCTTTTTACATCCGCTCTGAGCACTCAAATAGCCTTGCCTTGCTTCACAGGTGTCTGTGAGAAGTAAGGAAACATTTGTCTCCTCTTCTTCACATTTCTCTATAGCAGAAAAGTACTGGAGAGAATTCTCATCTGATCTCTACCTCCTCAAGGCTGTTTGGTGGGATCAGCTGGAGTCCATATGCGTTAGGCCACTGTCACCTGAGGCGGGATCACTCCATGGAACAGCAGGTAACATGGGCTCACCTTTCCTGCTCTCCCATAGTCCTTTCCACGCTCTGCTGCACACTTCTTCCTTTTCTAATTTCCAATCTTTCTGCTTAAGCCTGAGAACATCAATTCAAGTTGGGATGGCAGACAGGAGGCCCTGTGGGCCTCTCCCGACCAGTTTTCTTGGCATCTTAAACTTTAGATTTAATAGCTAGTACTATGATCCTTTCAGGCAATTTGGATATAGTTCTTAGGTAGGCAGAACCTGAAAGGGAGGAAGAACTAAAAAAACAGACCTCCTCACTTCCAGTAAATATCAAGTAATAAGATGCCACTGCTCACTTGCCTGTTCTGCTGTGAATCTCCAGAACCATCTTTGCTTAACCCACTCTGATAACTTCCCAGCCACCAGGAAAATGAACTCTGCTTTATGAACCCTATTTCCTCCCTAAGGAAGTCGCTGTTACCTCTTTGGACCAAGGACCTCTCCCAGGTCCACGTACTGGACGTTGTTGCTCGGTCAGCATTTACAACAGCACAAGAGTGATGCCTTTCTTCCTTCCATTTGCCTGTGCCTCCAGGGAAAAAGGCACCAGCAAGTATCCATATTCTGGTCACAAGGGGCATGCCATCAATGCTGTAGTGCTGATTTCGTCACCATCCTGCTGGACTAGGGAAACGCCAGCGCCTCTGGGCATTTCTTGTACTTGAAGGAGCAGGTGAATCAACCTGGGAAATCTGGCTGCCAGAGCCATTGGGCCGCAGCCTGCCCTGTGGTGACCTTTCCCTCTGTCTTTCTGCAGACACAAAGGGAGTGTCCCCAGAGACTGCTGTCAACTCCAGCGGCCACCACATGAAACCAGGTTCTGGTTTGGCCGAGGAGATTAACCCTGCCTTGGTGCTGTGGTCAGGGGAAGGTTTTCAGGGACCAGACAATGCCTTTCTCTGTGTCCCTCTTTTCCATCTCTTTCTACTTTTCCTTGACTTTGTTCTTTGTTAGAAAGGTCCAGAGTGGCAGAACCGTGGCTGCTGTTGTGCAAGGCATGTAATTTTGACCCCCTCTGCTCCTAAAAAAAAAAAAAAAAAAAATCAATACTCCTTTTGATTCTCTGTGGAGAGTGTTTTATAGACTCCCTTCTGAGCAGCACAATCTGTAAAAGCTGATATTATCTGATGACCCTTCTCATACTTACACAATATTCTTTTTACAAAATATTTCCAGAACCTCCTGTTCCCCTGTAACTGGGACTTTACTGCACATATCTGCTTTGTGACATGCAAGTATAGTCCATCTTATCTATCCAGCTTGATAAGAAAAGCTCCGCATTTGCATACTCAAAGGCACTGGGGTATGACAAAGGTCATTGGCTGACACATAGGCCTCCAGTGGGAGGGGAGCATGAAGTGTCCAGCTATGTTAAATGCAAGATGATGAGCTCAGTCAGATGTGGACATGGTGTGGAGTTAGAGAGAAGTTCCTCAGCTGGAGAAGGTCTGACACCTGTTGTGTATCTAACCTTCAGCAGTGTCACCCAAAGAGAGAAAGCACCTATGTTGGTCCTTCCTGCGGTACATCTCACATCAGAGAAGGAGATATGAACAATCTCCATTTAACTGCAAAGTTCCAGAGCTAGGAGAGAAGTCAGAGGTCACATCAATCCAGATGTTGTGAACTGGTGGCTAGATGGGTCTGCATAATGGACAGATCTTTTCTTACCTGCCCTGTTTGACTCTTTTTTAGCTTGCATATTCTTTCATTGTCAATATTGAACCATCAGGTGGTTTCAAATAAAATAAAGTTTGAGAATTTTATTGAAAAATCAGAATCTCTGGCAACTTCAGAATCTGTTCCTTCTTGGGAACAATGGAGAGACAGTGGCCCCCTTTTACTCTCTGGAGGGTGACGTCCTCTGGCTGCTTCATTTATTTATAATGCATCCAGATGCTGTAGGCACCTGGGTCTGTGTTTCATGTCTAAATTTAATCCTCCCCAATTTCCTATATAAAGAAAGAGGAAAAATGGATGATGAAGTGACTTCCAAGACCCCAGGGACAAAGAGGCAGAGTTCTCTCGAGACCTGGGTCTCTTCCACCAGGCCAACATGGTTGTTCTTGTTTCTAAGCCCCATCTTTAAAACTTTCAGCTGAATGTCCTCTAGAACTGGATTTTCACTCCTAAAGTTGTCCCCAGAAAATGGGGGCACTCAAGTCTCTGGCTTCTGTGTTTTCCCCCCAAAATATTATTTTTTCCCATGCTTTCAGAGAGGAATGCTACAAGTTTGTTACCATTAGATCTGTTCTGTGAGAAATGCTAATGGGAGTCTGTCCTTCCGGTCAAGATGTAAAGAAGCTAAAAAGTCATTTGAAGGTGTATGAAGAAATGCAGATCTTCAGTAAAGGTAAATATATGGGCAATTTCGAGGCTGGTGTTACTGCAATTTTGTTTTGTAAATATACTTTTTATTTTCTACATGATTTAAAAAAGTAGTTGTAATTTATCATGGAAAAGGTTGGGGACCAGAGAAAAACCAGGAGAAGAAAACCAATCTCTCATAATTCTATCATCCAGAGAAAGCGGCTTGCCAAAACTTACGGGTCATTTTCACATCTGATTGGGAGCTTATTCTTTGAACTCTTCAGTCCCTGTCTACATACGGAAAAATAGTCCTCACTACATGGGGACTATTTTTCCATATCACTAAATGTTCCCAAGTGCTGTTAAGGCTTCTGTAGCTGAGCAGCTGATTGGCTTGTGTGGGGTGCTATCCGCTGTATTGGAAGGATGGGCCCATCACGGGCAGTACTGTGACCCTGTTCTCTCCCTCTCCCATTCTATAGCACCTGCCCCCATATCTCATTTTAAAAGTTCTATATGGTGCTTTGACACCTTTAAGTCTCCAGGGCTTCAAAGACCTACCTGTGAATTCTCTTGTTCTCATCTAACACCCTCCCCAACCCCGCCAGAGGAAAGGCTCCCTGCCCACTGAGTTCCCCTAACTGCTGGGCCAATTGCCTCTCACTTTGTCCTCAGCCTAATACATTTCACCCAGCTGCCAGGCATGACATTATTCAAACATGCCAGTCATCTTCCTACAGACCAGGGCACCTCACCCCTGGTTACTACAAAGCTTGCCCCCCACAGTCCCGGAACACAATTCCTATGTGAACCTGCATGGTATATATGGTAAAGGTAAATATATGGGTATATATAACCAGCCCATGTCCCCTGCCCTGGGCTATGACTGTACACAATTAATAAATTGCTGTTGATCTCATCTGTCCAGTCTTGGTGACCTGTGTTTGGCTATCCCTGGAATCTTAGGGTAGGAATCTCTCCAGCAAAAAGGTAAAGAGAAGGTGGACAAGACCATCACTCTGCTCTTGGTACTAGTAATACAAGGCTTTCGACGAGGGGTGAAAGTTTATTCCTTCTAAGGAGAAGCTTTTAAGAAGTTCACATTTTCATTCTTGTTGTTCAGGGGTGCTATATTTTTATAGAGATCAATACTGATTAAAGTCAGAGAGCTAAGGATTCTAGTAGGGCCTTGGAGGGGAGGAGTAGAGAAATCTCAACCCAGGGGTTTCATGTGCTTCCTGAATCTACTCATTGACTGGTACTTGGTGTTTTCTTCAGTCAGACTGTGTTCAGGAGTTGGGTGGTCTATTTCTGACACTGAATGATTTGGGGCAAAGGACCTCATATTTTTGGACCTCATCTTCCTATTCCTGAAATGGCAAACCTAAGGCTTGCTTGATGCCCAGGGTGCTGCATCTCTTGCATCCTTTTCCCTTTCTCTTGTTTCCGTGGTATCTTTCCCCTGCCTCATTCAGTAAATATTTGAAGAGCACTCACAGTGTGTCAAGGACTGTTCTAGGTGCTTTGCTTTAGTTGAAGTGTGTACCGAGGAAGTTTAAAAAATGCAATCAAATGCTTACCTTTCAATAAAAGGAAAGTAACCTCTGTGTTGGAAAGAGCATTGTGTTGGACTTCAGACACACCTGGGTTTCCGGTCCTGATGATACTCAGAACGTAAGCAGCACTCTGGGCACATGAAGCAGTGAGTCAGGCAGAGAGAAAACATCCTTGGTTCTCATCTGCACACTGGTCCACCTGCTTAGTACCTACAGACATCTTCTTTGTGCTGCGTGGACCTTCAGACCGCTATGCCTGCACTAGGCACACAATTGCATTTGTTCCACCAGGCTGCAAATCCAGACACTGGAGCCCAGCACTTTTGTTTATAATTCCAGCATGTGACACTTAGTAGGCACTTTTGAATGTCTTTTGAAAGCCCCTGGTGCAGTTGCTGCGATTTTCACAACTAGAACATAGGAATGAATGTGTCCAAATCCAAGCCACCGACCAAGGCACTCTCCTTGGCAAGACAGTGGGGCCAACACTTCTCCAAGTCGAACTTGGTCTTTGCTTTGCATTTAGATCATTCTTGAACCACCTTCCAAAACCTAATTTTTCTTTTGTTGTCATGTCAAATTTTCTGCTCAAATGATATTTACCACCTTCGTTAGTCATAAATTTTAATACTAAAGATGTCATAATTCTCTGAACCTGTAAAAATGCTTCTTTAGACATTGAATTATTATTATTATCTGGCCAAATAGCCATGGCTAAACCCTCTCTCAAGGATAAAAAATTGCCACTATTAAGAATAATCCAAAAGAATATTCAAAAGGCAATGGGAGAAACTCCTAAAGATGTATCAATCTCTTTTGAACAATGAGGATGTCATTGGAAAAGGAAAGTGATTTGAGCAATTCTTTTTTTTTTTTTTTAATGAACAAAAAAATAAATCAGTCTCGTTGCTTGAGTTACCCTATGCCTCAGGGAACAGGGAAAGGAAGGAGAGGGCCAGAGAATTTAACAACACAGTGTTTAGAGACAGGGATCCAAGATGGCTTACATGACAACTATTGTCTCACATTATCTGATTCTTAATTTCTTCCACTTATCGTTAGGAAGACAAACAGCCCTTTGAGGGGTCTTGGTTTGGCCCCCATGCGAATGATGTGTGATACAAATACCTTCTTCCACTGGACTTTCCCCAGGAGTGGTAGGTGTAGTCACATGGGCAAAGGTGTGTGCATCCCTGGACCAGGGCCATGGTGACTGCAAAGTGGGCCCAGGGATGGAGGAGATGAGCTAGCTGAGGTGAGGGACTATAGAGAAGCAGGAGCAGCCTTAGAAAGGCACCTAGCGCCGGGGGAGAAGGTACTTCCTTGGGTAGGTCTCAGGAAGGAGGAAACAGCGATTCCTCGGGTTTTGACAGGGAGGGATCCCTGGGAACGTGTGGATGGAGCAGAATGCACAGGGAAGAGGGCCGTGTCCAGCAGAAGGAGTGGACTCAACCCAACACATACACAACCAAGAGCTGGTTTGTGGACAGTCTACTTACCCCACTTCTCACGTTTCCTTCCAGGTTGGAAAGAGCATCGTGGGTTCTCATTAGGTGCTTCTCATCTTCTGTGCAGCCAGCCCTGGGATGTCATAGGCTCCTTTGCCCCTCAGTTTCACCTCTAATAGAAAAGGGAGGATCACACGACTGGCCTGCCTCACTGGGTTGCCCTGGCGATGGAATGCTGTATTCTGTGTGGAAAAAAAAAAATCATTCATTCGTTCGTTTGTTCATCCAAACATCCATTTATTTATTCCTTTGGGCTTCCGTCTAGAGCAGAGGAGGAAAGGCATGGATATGGGATTTCGATCACATCAAGAGCTGTGACTGGCTTATAAAGAGAGAGAACTGGAGAATAATGACTGGAGACACGGGAGCTTTGGCTTTGGAAATGTTCCCTTGGTCCCTGCACTACTGGTAATTGTGCCTTTTCTCTCTTTTCATTAATGGCTAAAAGGATGAAATCTCGATACTGACAGAGCAGCGTCTCTTACAGACAAGTCAGTGGAGGGAAGAGTCCGCACAGAGCCACCCCTGGGTCTGCAAGGCCAGGCTGTCCTGAGCACCCCCTCACCTGTCATATGGCTTGCCCAACTGCCCTTTCCTCTTTTGCAAACACAACACTGATCAAACACAGGGGGTTCTTGACTTGTCACGTCTCTGGGCAAAATGGAAGCACAAAGGGATCTGAAGGGTGGACATGCTTTGCCTCCGTGCTGGGTCATCCCTGGCAGGATGTGTCCAGTAATACTCCTGGGAGTGAGCTGCTTCTTTCAGGAAGATCCTAGAATGAAGTCTCCAGCTGGCCTCTGGGTTGACATTGGTCAAATGGCCTAGTGGCTTTGCCTGAGTTCACGCCCCTCCACTTTTTACCTGGGTTCTTGGGGCAGGACAGTTGCTAGGAGCCGTGACAGGAAGATTAGGAAGAGGTGAAAGGTGAGGTTGGGAGTAGTGTTTACTCTCCCACGGTCCCTGCACGACCCAGGATGAATGCGGAGACGGCAGATAAGGTTAATCAGAGCAACAGGCTGCTTGCTTCACAGGGACAAGGCTACAATAGTATGAAACCCTAAGAATGGTTTTGATAAAGAGAGAAATCATATGTTGGTTTTCACTGTTAATTCCTTCAGAAAATCAGGCCTTTGCAGGAGATGGCTTGATATTGTCTGTAAACACAATTAGTCTGGGGTCCCCGCCACATGGTAGTAAAGATGCCTTCAAAAAAAAAAAAAAAAAAAAAAACAGGAGGAAGATTAAATGATTACATTAGTAGAGCAAATATATGTCTGATAAAGTTTTATGAGCTCTCCTTCCAAGAAAGGGGCTCCACAAAAGCAATATTTTATTATCCTTGTTCCAAGGCTCAGGGAAATGCAGCCTCCCTTATTTACCTTGGTGGTTTGTGACCATATTCTATTCGTAGAACATATATAAATTAATATATCTATTAATGACTTATCTCCTTTTTAATTATTATTTTTCAAGAAAATTCAGACCAAGCATCAAATCCTTGTTATTAACATCATTCAATGCTGAATCTTTAAATATGTTCTTTTACACTGTGTATCCTTCTCTACTAGGAAATAGCTCAAATTTTCTCTTGTCAAATAGCAAAACTATATCATAGAAAAGTAGACATTAAAATATGGATGTAATGTGATCTCCTGCTCAGATTGTGAGATTTCCTTGAGGAAAAGGAATTTAAGAGGTGGTTTAAAAAGGAATTTAAAAGGATTTTAAGAGGTGGTTCACTGACTCAGGGACCAGAAGTAGAGTTGATAGGTGGGCACCACTGTTACCTTTTCCATAAGCACAACCCTTAAGTAAAATGAGAACTTCTGACCCAGATGTCCTAGGTATTAGACCTCACAGCTAGGGGTTGAGGCAGGCAGGTAGTTGGTGTAGGTAACGTCACATTGTTCTCTCTATAAAGCTTAATCAGTGCAATCAAACTAACTTTATCAGGTACCTTCTCCACTGGAGGGGAACCAAGTTATGGGAGTCACATGTTAGTGCTAATCACTACTGGTCTCTCTGTCAATTGGGGAAAAACATCCCAAAGGAAATGTCTTTGTTGTGTTCCATTTTGCTGAATGACAAAAAGACAGAATCTAGAAGGTTAGGGAGGGGATGTTCTAGGTCTTCTAGACTTTTGTCCTAATAATTGGGAGGGAAATATAATGGCTAGAATGCCATTGTTCTTCATTTCTAAAAGGTATACACACACACACACACACACATACACAAGCCCAAATGCTTGTTACACTGAGTCATCATGGAAACTCTGCTTAATTATATTAATTACCTATTGATTTATGACAAATGACCCCAAAACTGAATGGCTTAAAGCAACAATTAACATTTATTATCTCACACAGTTTTTTTGGGTCAGGAGCTCAGGAGTGGCTTAGCTGGGTAGTTCCAGCTCACAGACTCTCATTGGGTCAGATGATAACAGCTGGCACAGCAGTCATCTGAAGACAGGACTAGAGCTGGAGAATCTGATTCCAAGATGACAAACTTTCGTGACTGTGGACTGGGTGAGGCATCCCAGGTCTTTACCACGTGGGCCCCACAGGGCTGCTTGAGTTCCTCATGGCATGGTGGCCAGCTCCTCCCAGAGTTAATGATCCAAGAGAAAGCAGGTAGAAGTTGAAATGCCTTTTATGACCTAGCCTCAGAAGTCACACTCTATCATCTACCATACCCATTGGTCATGTAGGTCAGCCTTACCTGGGAAAGGACTACACAAAAATAGGAATACCAAGAGGGGAGAATCACTGGAGACCATCTTGGAGGCCGGCTACCATATTAACTTCTCTGAATTTTCTATGCACTGTAGCAATATTTTTCCAAATGTTATTCTGTGGTTTTCCAAAAGATGTTAATAGACATTTGGCAAAACCCACTATGTACTTTTACATCACCCTTACCACATACATTGTTTACCACCACTACTAACAACACTCTTCTGTGGTCCGAAAAAAAAGGGCAAACTACACTCAGAGAGTCATAATTCACTTTGCATCATACCAGCTCTGAAGTGCACTCCTGTAAGATGTCTTTAAATTTGATCCAGCATTTCTCAAACCCCTTTGACCTTGAGTTCACTTTTAAGAAATATATGGTAGTGGCTTCTAAAATGTGATAATCAGAAAGATACCATTTGAGAAACACCTTTCTGGAATTGTTCTACATTAGACTCACCTGACTTCAAATTTTCCAAGAAGGTTTCTGTGGCTCTATGGCATTTGTGAAGATTCGAGCAGGGTGAGAGGAGATCTGCCTCTGAAACCCCTGTTTTTGCCCATTGATGATTCAGTCTCAGTATGAATCCTTCCTTGGTTCCAACAACCATAAGACTCCAGGAAAAGACTTCATAAAAAAAATGGGGAATCATCCTACCAGCCATTTTATACCAGGAGTGTTTTCATCTTGGTTGTTACATTAAGATGTATTTGTTCTTAATAAAGAAAAGAGAACATGATGTTACCAATCTTCTAGAAGCACTTTGGGTTTTAGGGAAGAATAGCACTGTGGTCACGCACACAGGCTCTGGAGCCCTCCCTTCACAGCCATGCTGCACCATGCATGATCTGAGTAAGCTTGGGTGCGTCCCTTTAACTTTTTTATGGTTCAGTTTCTTTGTCTGCAAAATGAGAACAATAAGAAAACGCATCACACAGAGTTGTGAGGAACAAATGATATGAAGCTTATAAAGTCCTCAACCCAGTACCTGGTCCATAGTGAGCATTTGATAAACATGAACTCCTGTTGCAAGGGAAGGGGATTATTTGAAAAGTTAGTGGTTCTAGGGTCCCTACCAAAAAACCACCCCCCTACCCCCCAAAAAATCCACATCTCTGAGTTGCCAAAATAATAAGAAACCAGGTGAGAAAGAGATGTCACTAGAAAACAATTCAGAAAAAATAAATAGATAAAAGAGATGGAAGAGGAATTCAGGAAGCATGGATGGGCTGGTGAAAGGGCACGCATGCGTCAGGAGTATACCAGATGTCACTGGCACTCAGTTTTCCAGTGACCTGGTAACTTCATCAGCACATAGGAATGGTGCAGCCTGATTATTGAGTTGCAGAGTTAAAGAGAAAGTTACAGATTAGCCAGTCTGGAGCCTCCCTTGATAGTTAAAGGGACAGAGAGTCACAGAGAATAAACATGCAGCCAAGATCCCCTGGGCTGTCAGACACAAAACCAGGCTCCTGGTGCTGGGTTCTGGCCCATTTTATGTGAGTAAAAAATGTCTTATGTGAATTTTAAAAATTCATTGAAAGATAAAATTTTTCCAACAATACAGAACCTAAAGCATTGTTCTGAGTTGACGTGCTGTATTTGCCATTCAAATTCTCACAAATATCATGGGCCAATTATCAACCTCACTGACATATCAATTACATACCACAAAATGTAGATTTTAATTGTATTGTTTGGTGGGTTTAGGAAAATGTACACACCCAGGCAACCACTACTCAGTTAAGAATCAGAACATCACCATCGTCCCAGAAATCTCTCCCCTGTGCCTTTGCAGTCAGTCACCTGCCTCTGTCCCCAACACATGCTCCCAATAAATATCGGTCAGATTTCACATTCAGGTTTCAGCCAGTGCAGTTGGAATGGGTCTGGCTTGGTCCTAGCACTGTGTTGGTGCCCTGGGGAAGAAGGGGAAAAGCAGCGTCTGCAACCCATGAGCTGCTTAGGAGATGGCCAGAGGAAGCAACTTGAGTCACACAGTTCCCTTCTTATGTCATCTGGGACCAAAATGACAAGGGATGAGGTGATTTGACAGGTCTGGGTATCATAGGCCAACCTTCAGGGGTCGGGGTGGGGGGGTAGGGAGGGGTGGGGGAAGGGAGGACAGGCATCCCCATAGGAGGTGGGATGGCCAGGGGCTGGCTTCCCACGATTGCTGACCTTTCGTGGACCCAAGAAAAAGTCCTTGGCTAGAGGGGGGATGCAGAACTCCCGCTGGGCAGCTGCAGAAGACAACTGAAGTCTGGGATAGGAAGACCAGGCCTTCCATAATTATTGCATAATATAGCATATGTTGCATTAACATACATTATTTACTAAATAAATGCAGGTTTAAAAAAATGTCGGACCATGATCCTGCTGCCCTTTTG